AGTAAGAGGATAGGAAGCCAAATTTCAGGTGAATAGAACACAAAAGAAAGCAAGAGTTGTGATCTTAATATCAGACAAAATACCCTTTAAGGTATCAAACATTAAAAAGAAACAGAAGGTCATTACATATGCAATGATAAAAGGTTCAATCCATCAACAAGAAATATCCATCCTAAACATATATGAACCCAACATAAGAGCACCAACTTTCATAAAGCAGCTTCTAGGCAAGTTTAAAAAAGATACTGACTCTATCTTAACTGGAGACTTCAATACTCCACTCACAACCCTAGACAGTTGATCGAGACAAAAAATCAGCAAGAAGATCTGGAACCTCAAGGTGACTCTTGACCAAATGGACTTAATTAATACCTATAAAACACTCCACCCAACGACTACAGAATATACATTCTACTCATCACCACATGGAATGTACTTTAAGATCAACCACATCCTTGGCCTTAAATCAAGCATAAACACATTTCATAAGATTGAAATTTTGTCATGCACCTTCTCAGACCACAGTGGAATAAAAATAAATATCCACAACAACAAAGTTCCCCAAAATCCACAAAGACATGGACACTAAACATGTAGTGACCTTCTGTCTCTAATAATTGAAATGTCAGAGTTTATCCTTGTCATAAGGTTCTTATAGAGTTGTTGTTGTTCTTGTTGTCTTTCTTTTGATTTTTGGTTGATTCATGTTTGTTTTCAATTTTTTTCCTGCACTCTTGTGAAGAATGTTGTCATTCTTTTTTCCCTTTCTTTTATGTTTAACTCCTGGGTCAACATGGAAATCAAACAGAGATTAAAAGACACCTGGAAACAAATGAAAATGAAGAAACATTTTACCAAAACCTCTGGATACCATGAAAGCAGTAGTAAGAGGGGAATTCATATCTCTACAGACACACATGAAGAAAATGGAAAGATCACAATTTAACAGCCTAACAAGTCACCTAAGGAAGCTAGAAATGCAAGACCACCAAAATCCTCACTTCAACAGAAGAATCCAGGTCACCAAAATAAAAGCCCAAATAAACACAATCAAAAACACAAAAGATGAAGTCACAACTGACCCTGAAGAAATACAGAGACTACTATGTACACTTATGTGGAAACAAACTTGAAACCCTAAAGGAAATGGAGGACTTTTTTTTTTTTTTTTTTTGAGTTGGAGTCTCACTCTGTTGCCCAGACTGGAGTACAGTGGCCACTCCCGGCCACCACAGCCTCGACCTGCTGGGCTCTGGCGATTCTTCCACCTCAGCCTTCCTAGTAGCCGGTATTACAGGCGCGCACTACCACACCCAGCTAATTTTTGATTTATTGTAGAGATGAGGTCCCACCAAGTTGCCCAGGCAGGTCTCAAACCCACGGGCTCAGGCAATCCACTCACCTCAGCCTCCCAAAGCGTGGGATTACTGGCTGAGCCACCGAGCCCAGCTGGACTTTCTGACATCACACAACCACCCACGGCTGAAACAAGAAGAAACCAAGACCCTAAATAGAGCAATAACAATCCAGGAAATTGACTATGTCATAAGAAAACTACCTACAAAAAAAGCCCTGGACCAAATGGCTTTCCAGCAGAATTCTACAAACACACAAGGAGGAACTGATACCAATCCTATTGAAAGTATTCCAGGTGATTGAGGAAAATGGAACTCTCCCCAAATCATTTTATGAAGCTAATATCACATTGATACCCAAGCCAGGTAAAGATCCAACAAAGAAAGAGAACTACAGGCCAATATCCTTGATGAACATAGATGCTAAAATTCTCAACAAGATCCTAGCAAATCAGATTCAACAACACATCTCAAAAATCATCCACCACGACCAAGTAGGCTTCATCCCTGGGATGCAAGGCTGGTTCAACATTCGTAAGACCATAAAGGTAATTAAATACATCCACATACATAAAAACAAAAACTACATGATTAGATCATTAGATGCAGAAAAAGCTTTTGATAAAATCCAGCATCCCTTCTTGATAAAAACCCTCAAACATCTAGGCATAGATGCAACATACCTCAAAATAGTAAGAGTAATCTATGAGAAACCCACAGCCAGCAAACTGCTAGACAGACAGAAATTGAAACCATTTTTCCTGAAAGCTGAAACAAGACAAGGATGCCCACTATCACCCCTCCTGTTCAACATAGTTTTGGAAGTCCTAGCTAGAGCAATCAGAGAGGAGAAGGTGATCAGGTGTATCCAAATAGGAAAAGAGGGAATCAAGTCATCCCTCTTTGCAGATGACATGACTCTATATCTCCAAAACCCAAGAGAATCTGTCAAAAACCTCCTTGTACTGATAAAGGACTTTGGCAAAGTCTCAGGGTATAAATTAAATGTGCAAAAGACAATAGTATTTCTATATACCAATAATAAACAGAAACCCAAATAAAAAGCACAATCCCATGAATAATAGTCACAAAAGAATGAAATACCTTGGCATCTTCCTAACCAGAGATGTGAAAGACCTTTACAATTAAAACTACAAAACACTGCTCAGAGAAATCAAATATGATGCAAGCAAGTGGAAAAATAGTTCATGCTCATGGATTGGAAGAATCAACATTGTTAAGATGTCCATTCTACCTAAGGCAATCTACAGATCTAATGCAATACCCATCAAATTACCAGCAATGTTCTTCTCAGACCAAGAAACAACAATACAGGAATTCATATGGAAACATAAATAACCACGTATAGCCAAAATAATCCTTAGCAAAAGAAACAAACAAACAAAAACCAAAGCAGGAGGTATCACATTCCCAGGCTTTAAACTTCATTATAAAGCTACAACAATCAAAGCAACTTGATATTGGTACAAGAACAGGCATATAGACCAATGGAATCGAATTGAGATTCCAGAAGCAAAACCTCAGTTTTTATCAACCAACTCATCTTTGACAAAGCCTCCACCACCAACCACTGGGGAGACGAGAACTGATTCAGTAAATGGTGCTGGGAAAGCTGACTGACCACATGCAGAAGATTGAAACAGGACCCCTACCTATCCCCATACACAAAAATCAACTCTAAATGGATCAGAGGCCTAAACATAAAACCTCAAACTATTGAAAACTTGGAAAGTGCAGGAGACACTCTTATGAAAATTGGAACTGGCAAACAATTCCTGATCAAAACCCCAAGTGTGCCCATGCCATAAGAGATAAGATAGACAAGTGGAACCTCATCAAACCGACAAGCTTCTGCAAAGCCAAAGAAACCATCAAGAGAGCATGGAAACAGCCCACATACTGGGAAAAAATATTTGTTCACTGTATGTCTGACAAAGGCCTAACATCTAGGATCTATAAGGAACTAAAACATGCTGAAAAGAAAAAACAAACAGCCCCATTACAAAGTGGGCAAAAGATATGAATAGACAATTCTCAAAAGAAGATGTATGAGCAGCCAACAGATACATGAAAAAATATTCAGCCTCACTAGTCATCAAAGAAATGCAAATTAAAACTATACTGAGATACTACCTAACTCCAGTCAGAATGGTCATCATCCATAACTTAAAAAATAACAGATGCTGGAGTTATGTGGTGAAAAGGGAACATTTCTACACTGCTGGTGGAAATGTAAATTAGTACAGCCTTTGTGGAAAATAGGGTGGCAATTCCTAAAAGTTCTAAAAATCAACCTTCTATATGACCCTGCAATCCCCCTACTGGGAATATACCTGGAAGAACTCAAATCACTTTATAAAAAAGATACCTGCACACGTATGTTTATCGCAGCATTGTTCACAACAGCAAGAACATGGAACCAACTGTACTGCCCATCAAAAGAGGTCTGGATAAAAAAAATGTGGCACATATACACAATGGAATATTACGTAGCCATAAAGAAGAACAAAATCATGAACTTCTCAGCAACCTGGAGGGACTTAGAGCCTATAATACTGAGTGATCTTTTACAGAAACAAAGAGCTGAGTATCACATGTTCCCACTCATAAGTGAACCTTGAACAACTGCCATAATACTATAAGAAAAGGATTGACAGTAATGGAAAACTACAGGGGGTTGGGGCTGTGGGGATGTGGGATTGGCAGTAGTGGGAATCTGCCTGGGAAAGGGGGGGGCACACCTCATCAACAAGGGTAACTGCATAATGAATATTTGTATACCTAACTCTGAATTGTACCCCATAATTTTAAATAAAAAAACTTAAAAGTTAAAAAAAGAGAGACACTTGAAAACTATAGCAGAGGAACACAGATCACTTTCTTAAAAAGGTACCTGTGAATGCATGTTTATTGCAGCACTATTCACAATAGCAAAAACACAGAACAAACCCTGCTGCCCATTGAAAGTAGACTGGATTAAAAAAAGTGGTATATATACATGATGGAAAATCATGCAGCCATTAAGAAGGACAAAATTATGAACTTCACAGAAACTTGGGTGCATTTAGAGTCTGTAATACTCAGTGATTTGTCACAGAAGCAAAGAACTGAGTACCACATGCTGTTGCTCATAAGCAGACCCAGAACAATTATAATACTAAAAGAAAGGGATTGGCAGTATGGGAAACTGTCAGAGGAGGTGGGGGCGCAGTTCATCGATAAGGGTACCTAGTCTCAAATCAGTAGATGTGGGTACCAAAGTGAGGCCCAAATTTACCTGTGCAATGACCATTTGTATATCTAACCCTGAATTTTACCCTACATCTTTAAAAGAAAAAAAAAAAAAAAGTACCAAGAGATTTTTTTCTTTAGATAGAATAATTTTTGGCTGACTAATAATGTTTGGTATACTAAAAAAACTATGTTTGGAATACTAAAAATGGCCAAAAAAGAGAAGACAAAAATACTGATTGAGGAAAAATACAGGGAAGACTTATAAGATATGTAATCATGTTATATAATAATATGTAATAAAAGTAGCAACAAAAAAAGAGAGAATAAACATTTAAGCTGAAATAGTATGTAGTTATTACGTCTAAAAAGTAATAATCTTCTGATACTTACCAAAAGCTAAAAAGTAGACAAGTAGAGCTATGGTCACTGCCAGGATCACCACCCCTGCGACGACAATGAAACATACTACGTATGGATTCAGAAATCTTGAATTCGTTGGTCCTCGTGCTGGCCTTAGAAACAAGAGAAAAAGATCAAAGAAAAAGTTATTCATTTCACTCAGAGAAGCCATCCTTTCAATGCTCATGACTGTCTTCTGCCTTTTTTGCTTATCTTGTGCATGACTCTTTTCATAGAAATATGATCCTGGAAAAGAAACTGAATTCCATAAGGCTGTTTTTAAAAGTACTACCCCAAAGGTTTGTTTTGTTTTGTTTTTTTCCCAGCACAAAACAATTGGCAGTTAAGTAGTTTAATGAGAAATCTTCATACTGTTTTTCATAGAAGTTGGACTAACTTGCATTTCCACCAAAAGTGTACAAGTGTTCCCTTTCACCACATCTGCAGCAACATGTATTGTTCATTGATTTTTTAAAAATGGCCATTCTGATGGGGGTAAAGTAGTATCTCATGGTGGTTTTAATTTACATTTTCCTGATTCTGGAGTATGTTTTAAGCATTTATTCATATGTTTGTTAGCCACTTATATATCTTCTTTTGAGAAATGTCTGCTCATGTCATTTGCCCAATTTTTAATTAGGTTATTTGGGTTTTTTTTATTGCTGGTGTGTTTGAATTCCCTGTAGATTCTGGATGTTAGACTTTTGTCAAATGTGTAGTTTGTGAATATCATCTCCCATTCTGTAGGTTGCCTGTTTGCTCTGTTTATTATTTCTTTTGCTGTGTAGAAGATTTTTGGTTTCATTAAATCTCACTTATTTATTTTTGTTTTTGTTACATTTGTTTTGGGGGTTTTAGACATAAATTCTTTGCTTAGGACAATACCCAGAAGAGTTTTTCCTAGATTTTCTTGTAGAATTTTTATGATTTCAGGTCTTACTCATCTTGAGTTAACTTTTGTATATGGAAAGAGATAGAGATCCAGTTTTATTTTTCTGCACGTGGACATCCAATTTTCTCAGCATTGTTGATCGAATAGGATGTCCTTTCTCTAGTATATGTTTTTGTCTACCTGTCAAAGATCAGTTGATTTGTATTTGGCATTCTTTCTGAGTTCTCTATTCTGTTCTGCTGGTCTACTTCTACGTTTTTACCAGCACCAAGCTGTTTTTGTCACTTCAGCCTTATAGTATAGTTTGAGGTCAGGTAATGTGATATCTCAAGCTTTGTTCTTTTTGCTTAGGATTGCTTTGGTTATTTGGGCTCCTTTATGGTCTAAATTGTCTAAAAGACAATTTTAGAATTGTCTTTTCTACTAATTCTGTGAAAAATAACATGGTAATTTGATAGGGATTGCGTTCCACCATTCAATCCAGCAATCCCACACTGGGTGTCTACCCAAAGCAAAAGAAGCCATTATACAAAGAAGACACCAGCACTTACATGTTTATTGCACCATAATTCACAATTGCAAAGATGTGGAATCAACCAAAGCACCCCATCAACCGATGAGTGGATAAAGAAAATGGAATACCATTTAGCCATAAAAAGAATAAAATAATGTTTCTCACAGCAACTTGGATGGAATTGGTGGCCATTTTCCTAAGTAAAATAATGCAGGAATGGAAAGCCAAATACTGCATGTTCTCACTTATGAGTTGGAGCTAAACTATAAGTCTGCAAAGGCATATGAAGAGGAGAAGGAAGTGAGGGATGAAGTATCAGAAACAATGTATGCCTTTTGTGTAATGGGCACACTAAAAGCTCAGCCTTCACCATCCTACAATTTATCCATGTAACCAAAAATCACTTGTACCCCTAAAACTATTTTTAAAAACCATAAAAATAAGTAGATTGATGGAAAAATAAGGAAATGTGACCTATGATTTAGAATTGCTTTATCATCTTCCAATTGTTAAAGTCATAAAGAATAACAATGCATTAATCTCTGTTTTTCTGTGGTTTCTTCCAAGATCCTATCCTGAATGCTACTGTGGTAACAAAACAAACCAGAGGCCAGAATCAACATATGCTTTAGCTTGGATCAGCTTCTCATGGGAATGACATTACATAGAATTTTGCTTTCAGTTCATGGAAAAGATCTTAAACTCAACAACTGAAAAGCACCGTGAGACATATGACTCAATAAAAAAAGGGGGTGGAGCCCAAACTACCTTAATCTCACAAGCCATAATTAATTACAAGAGAATGCATTGTTTCACCCTGTAGAAACAGCTGAAAAATGTTCTCTCTTTAGTAGTGAGACTTGTAGTTGAACCTCTGAATGTTGATGATTATAAGAACTTATGCTAACACAAAATAAATCGTGTGCAACATTGACCTTGTAAACTATTGCAGAAAATATGTTTGTAAACAGGGTTTGCATTTGATTCATAATACAATGGAAATCTGAGCAAGAAAATATTTTTCTTTTCAAGTGGGGTCCTGATCAGTGAGATTTTTTTACTGCTTGCATTTGAATGGCAAAGCAAATATTCAGCTGTGACCCTTTAACCAGTTTCTCTCACCCTCTTTCTCTTTTTTATTGACTTGGAAAAAATAACATGAAGGTTGAAGAATTTATCTTTCCACACTCTTATTATGAGAGCCTGTATGTCATTCATTGTAAATGTACATAGTCAATCTTCATGACAGCCTTGTGAAGTCTGTATTATAATCCCATTTTAAAGATAGGGAAGGTTAGGCATAGAGAGTAAATGACTCATGATTGTTCAGGAGTGATAAAGCTGGAAAAAAAATAGGAAGGTTTAAATAAACGAACACACATTTCCTCCTACATACATGTCTTCCTTGAGTATGTTGCTTCACCCTACAGGGAAATGGAAGGCTTTAGGGTTTCAGTTTCTCCTGCTCTCACTTGGGGGGAAGCAAAAGGAATCAACATCTGTTAATAATATTTTCTAAGATATATCTTCAGGCCAGACCTCTTTTCTTGAGCTTCACATCATAATTTTCCATTATTAATTAGATATCTGATGTATACTTTACATTCACCTTAAATAAACCAGTTCAAAACTGAACTTGGTATTTTTTCCTCCATTAGACTCTAGCGTTTGAGAATATACCTTAGGCTGTATTAAGCAATTTTAAAACAAAACATTCACTTTTTCCAACTAAAACATAATCATTTTTTTCTTTTGGAAATTTCTTTTGTCCTAATATCGGTCATGACTTTAAAATGAAGAACCTGAGATGTGAAAGATTTCTTTAGTTGACTTTTAATTTCTCAGCATAATGTTTAACTCTGGCACTGTAGAAGACTTCCAAGGGGATGTGAAGAGAGAACTAGGGTTAGGATGTGTGAACTCAAGTCCTCTGTCTAATGTAAGCGATGAGATCTTGCATAAATTATAACTATTTCAAGCTGTAGATTTTTTATTTTTTAAAATGAGTAAGACAATACCTTTCCCATCATGATTCTTTTAATCAAATAAAACAGTATATATGACAATGATTTATAAACTTAAGTTCACTAGGATTTAAGGCATTATTATAGGGGCAACTGAAGTATAACAGCCAGATCTCTAGCAGTGAAGATTTTTCTGCCAGTAGTTGTTGAGTGATCTTGGATGAGTCATTTTAAAACTTTGGCGCCTGGGCAGTGAGACCTCATCTCTACAATAAATCAAAAAAACCTGAGCCCGCGGGTTCGAGACCCGCCTGGGCAGCGAGACCTCATCTCTACAATAAATCAAAAAATCAGCCGGGCATGATAGTGCATGCCTGTAATTACGGCTACTCGAAGGCTGAGGCGGAAGGTTCGCGGAGCCCAGCAGGCGAGGCTGCGGTGGCCGGGAGCGGCCACTGCACTCCAGTCTGGGTGACAGAGTGAGACTCTAACTCAAAAAAAAAAATAAAAAAAATAAAAAATAAATCAATAAAATTTTGGAATCTTAGTCCCTCCACTATATATGATGATAACAGCCACTGCCCAGAACTTTTTTTGTGAGAATTAGAAGAGATAACATGCTATAAAGGGCTATCAAAGCACAAAGGAATATTTGAGTAAAATAATTTAAAAACTTAATTAGCTTAATCTTATTTATTACTGTTTATATTTTAATTTATACTATTAAGAGAAAAAACTGCATTTCCTTTAAGATATTCAATTTTACCTATGTACCAATTTACCTGTTTTACTTTATGTGTTTTATCTTGCTCCATACACATTCTTTTTCAGAGAAGACTTCTAAATTTATACTTTTATTTGTAGCATTTCCCATGAACTCCAATATCTTCCAACTGACTCCTGGGTTTTATCACACAGACAACTTTATATTAAAGAAAAAGAATGTGTCTACAACTTCCTCCATTGAGAGACTTCTGGAATAGGATATATCAATACTAGTTTTCTATTCTTCTTCTGTAGCCATTAATTCTAAGACTAAGAAATGCTCAAAGAAGTTCTAAACATGGAAATGAAAAGCCATTAATTCTAAGACTAAGAAATGCTCAAAGAAGTTCTAAACATGGAAATGAAAAGGCAATACTCACCGTCATAAAACACACACAAGTATAAAACTCCCAGGTCTTATAAAAAAATTACACAGATGAAAAAGAGAAAGAAATTAAATGAAAACATGACAGAGCTCCACCAAACTACAAAGAGAAAAAAAGAAACAAAGAATCTACAAAACAACTAGATAATGATTAACATTATGATAGGAATAAAGTCTCACATATTAATATTAACTTTAAACATAAATGAATTAAATGCTCCATATAAGAGACACAGATTGGCAAAATATATAAAAAATAATCAGCTATATGTTGCCTAAAAGAGACTCACTTTACTGGTAAAGACACTTATAGATGGAGGGTAAAGGAATGGAAAACAATATTTCATGCAAACAGAAAACAAAAGTGAGCAGGAGAAGCTACAGTTATATTTTTTTAAAAGACTTTAAATAAACAGTAATAAAAAAAGACAAAAGCTGTCATTATATAATGATAAAAGGATCAATCAAACAAGAAGATATAATAATCCTATATATGTGTGTGTGTATGTGTGTGTGTGTGTGTGTGTATGTGTGTGTGTGTGTGTGTGTGTGCCCAACACCTAAGCATCCATATTCTTAGAACAAATATTACT